TGCAGTTTGATTTCAGAGCGACTGACCTGAGTGTGACGTCACCACAGCCTCCAGCTCCAAATGAAGCTCAGGTTCCCACGCTCATGGAAATCCTGGAAAAGTCCTGGAGTTTGAGTCTGTTTCCCGCAGCTCCAGTTCTGTTACGTTCTCAAGAGACGACAGGAAATGTTCTGACAGGATTTAAACTATAATCCCAAACCAGAAGGTGAGAGGAAAGAGTTAATGTTTCAGATTTAACCTAAAAGTCTGATCAGTTCTACACATGGAGGTGCTGGAAAGTCATGGAAAATTCACATAGTCTTGAAAAGTCATGGAAAAGTTTGGAAATGTTGTGAAAAAGCCTGGAAGCTCCTCGAGGCCAAATCAGGAACACGAAATGATTTAAGAACAAAATGTTAAACTCCAAACCCCAGAACTGAACCAGGACTAAACCAGGTCTAAACCAGGTCTAAACCAGGTCTAAACCAGGACTAAACCAGGTCTAAACCAGGTCTAAACCAGGACTAAATCAGGACTAAACCAGGATTACTGTGTGAAAGGGGCGGGGCAGAGGGCGGGGCTGCGTACAGGGGGCGGGGCTGCGTACTGAAGCTGGTGTGGTTGGTTTTGGCGACAGCATGTGACTGATTTGCATGAGTGCGTCACGACTCATCTTTTCTGTTTGATTAAAGTTGAATGTGAAAAAGTCGTGTTCTGTCACAAAAGGATACACGTCCTCACAATACACGTCGTCACACACGTTCTCACGGGTCACACGTCCTCACAGGACACACGTCCTCACAGGACACATGTCCTCACAAGTCACACGTCCTCACAAGACACACGTCCTCACACACGTCTTCACAGGACACACGTCCTCACGGGTCACACGTCCTCACTGGACATACGTCCTCGGGGGACACACATCCTCTCGGGACACACGTCCTCACGGGACACACGTCCTCACAGGACACATGTCCTCACGAGACACACGTCCTCACAAGACACACACATCCTCACACACATCCTCACAAGACACACATCCTCACACTATCCTCACAAGTCACACGTTCCTCACAGGACACACGTCTTCTAACAGGTAACACGTCCTCATGGGTCACACGTCCTCACGGGTCACACGTCCTCTCGGGACACACGTCCTCACGGGACACACGTCCTCACGGGTCACACGTCCTCACGGGTCACACGTCCTCACGAGTCACATGGAGCTCATCATCACAGGTTCCTTCATTTCCATGTTGTGGGGAATAAAATGATTTTGTGACTTTTCTTACAGAAAACAATTCTGATTTGGAATTTATATTCTGAACCCAAGACCCAGCGTCTGCAGCATCTGAACCTGTAACAGGATTCACATGTGACAGAAGAATGAAATAGGCTCTGCTAAACAAATACAATATACACTATAACATATGTACTAGAATTTATATTTATACACACAACATGGAGACGCTGACGCTTTTATCACTGGTCCAACAGACGACGGTAACATCCTGATCTCTGACCTTCTCAAAAAGACGATTCAGGTTTTCAATTATTACAAAATTCAGCCAGCACGAGTCCTGACGAGGACCAGAGGTGGGACCACGTTACACCGGTTTGAAAATCACTGCACCGGCTCCTGTGAGTTTCAGGATCAATTTTAAAGTTCTTTTCCTGGTTTTTAAATGTCTCAATGGTCTTGGTCCTTCTTATCTTTCAGAACTTATTTTACTCTACGAACCCTCGTGGACCCTGAGCTCCTCCGGCAGCAGCTCCTGGTCTTTCCCAAAGTCCAGACACTCACGGAGGCGACTTTCCAGAACTACGGCCCTCGTCTGTGGACCTGAGGAGCTCAGGGCCAAAGAAAACGTTCATGTTTTTAAGAGGAGCCTCAGGACCCACCGGTTTAACTCAGCTTTTGATTCAAATCTTATACTTTTACTTGTTTCTGTTGTACACATTTTATTATATTTATTTATTTTAGGCACATTTTTAGGATTCCCAGTGTCTCGTGTATCGGAGCTTCTGTCTGTCCTGTGGGCTCCTGGTGGGGGGTTGGTGTTTGGGCCTCATCTCGGTTATATACTTTTTTATTCATGTGTAATCAGATGTGTCATTTAAACAGCACATGGACAAACACTTTTTCATTTTTATGCAGATAAAACAAATTTACAAAATGAACAAAAAACAAATCACTCAAGAAAAACAAGGAGCGTCACAATAAAACAATAGAATGACAACAGATCTACTCCTACTGTTATTACTAACAAATAAAACATTAAAATTAAATAATAAGCCAATAAAAATTACAGTAGTAATAATAATAAACTTTTCTTGGAGTATCTAATCTTAAAACTGACATAAAAAAAAATACATCATTTGATGAATCCGCTGAGGCTGGAGGGACATTTGTTGACTTCCAGCATCAGAGGAGACGACGTCTTACAACAAGAGAAATAAACAATAAAACCTGCAGCTGTAAAGTTGAATAGTGAGAGAAGTTTTCTGGGAAACCAAAGAGCCACATACACACACCGGCCTGTTCACATCTTAACCCTTCCAGATCGGACATGTTTTACATAACCGCGCATAACTTTTTAACCATAAAAGATAGAGACTTTTTTTTTTTTTCCTTGTATAGATAAGACCCGTGGCTTTACGAGCATCTTTCCGGCATCATCCTACGTCACACGCACGCTGCGTGGTGACGTAGTGAAAACAGGCGTCCAATAGGATCTTCGCTCTTCGGCGCGTGACGCGCTCCATCCATTTTCATTGGCCCAAACTTTGCCAAAGATTGTTGTAAGTCAAGATAGTTTCTCCTCTGAGCGTCTGTGCTCATAGCATTTGATAAAGCAGACCTAAGTACCATTATTTCTCAAGTAAATGGCAAATTACGCATCTCGGTGTGCGTAATTGCGCATCCCTTACTATTTTTATTTGAAAAGGGTTTTTTTTACTTGCAAATGATACATAATACATCCAACAGGACGTAAACAGCCGAGTGTCGAGCAATGAATCGGGTGCGCGCGGGTGTGAGCAGGTGCGCGCAGATGCGCGCTTGGCGTAGACCCGGCGCACATTCCTGTGCCAAGGCATTTGTTGTTTTGCGCACAGAGGATAAAGAGCTCCGGGAAGTCTATCAGAAGAAAGAAAGAAAGAAAGAAAGGAAGAACGAACGAACGAACAGAAATGGCACGCAAAGCGTCACTTTCCTTGCTGGAAGCAGTGGCGATGGTAACGGAGCCTGGCAGTGACGCCGAGTCCGATGTGGACACTTTTTATACAGATGAAGAGTTGGATTACCTGGAGGATCTGGACCCTATTGAAGAGTAAGTAGCAAATATTTCATAGTTATTTAGAGCAAACATCATGCAACACTTGTAGTAAACGGGCGTAAATACATAATAGTAGCATGTGTAATGCCTATTTACGCATTGTTTGGATACAGTTTTATTTGATGCGTGAGGGTATAATCATTTAGGTGGGGATGAGATTGTGAACTTCAGACAACTGTTTACCTGTGTTGCACTAGACTTATGACATGTATGTTGTTGTTTGTAATAACGAGCTACAAACTACATGTGTAAAGTGTGATGAAGTGGTTTGGGAGGTGTGGATGTCCTAATTAGTGAGGTCATAATCTGTTGACACCATTTGGGTGGGGATGGGGTTGTGCATTGTGTTTGCCCCTGCTGCACTAGACTTAGGTCGTTTTCACACCTCTAGTTCGATTATTTGGTCGCACCAGGCAATAAAATTGTTATTATGTAGCAAATACACTCCAGTGTGGTCCGCGTTCACACCGGCAAACGAACCAAAATTGGTTCGATTGATGTGTCTCTGTTTCCCGGTAAAACAGTGATACTCCAGTTATCAACACCGATGTTCCTGTTAAAACCACGGGCCGTCCTCATCTCAAATTATCACCATGAACTCATAAAAACAGCAACATGTAGAACTTTGTACAAACTCACCGCATCAGCCCAGAGTTCAGGTAACAGCAGCAGCCAACAGCTCCTCAGGACGGGGCTGGGGTCTGGTCCTTGGTCCTTGGTCTGTTACAAGCGCGTTGGTCAGATGGTCCGGAGGCTTCATCCTCCATGTGCTGGTTCCAAACGGTGGCGAGCAAGACCAGTGCGCAATGACTGGGTCTGAGCGGGTACGTTCAGTCGTCTGCGCGCTGGTTCTGTGCGGGAAAGCGAGAATGCGCTGTGGACTACAGGTCCAGGCGCGCTGCTCCTGTCCTCCACGCTCAAGAACCGCGGCTGGTTCCGAGGTGGTGCAGCATCCGGACAGAAGCGTGAGTCCAGTTTGGTTTGTTATATGTTGTTCTGAGCGTCCGTCCTTGGCATTTGGTTTTCCCGGGAAAGTTCTTCCTCAGGTCGAGGCTCCCCGCTCCAGCTCCTCTGAGCCCGGCCTGAACCGGAGCCGCTCCCGCTGGTTCTGGACTCTGGTTTGGATCTAGTCCGACTGTATTTCTCACACTAGGCTAAAAGCAGGGACTTTTTTAAGTTGTATCAATTGAATGGGCGATTGCCTATTGCCATAAAATCATTTGGATAATTAAAGCCTAAAATAACAAATGTTGGTTGCTGTGTGATCACGGGAAACACCGGGTCGTCTCTGTGCGTGTAGGTCCCGAACAGGGGACGCACCCCCAATTTTGACTCACTCTGGAGCCACATGTTCGCACACTGGTTCTTGCTCTGATCTTCGTGCGTTACGTTCTCTGTATTGGCCATTGTTGGTAAAATAATTCGAAAATGAATCGCGTCTGCGTCTGGACAACAACCTGTTACTGCGCTGGAGTCGTACAGCGTCACTTCAGGCAGAGGAGACGCGTGTCCCTCCCATGATGCATTTCGAATAGTCTGTTTGTCCATACTGTCTATGGTTTGGACCCGGGTTCGCGTTCACACCAGAGGAACCGCACCAAAGTTGGTCATTTGGTGGATTCAAGCGAACTGAGACCACCTCTTTTTTGCGGTCTCGGTTCGCTTGATTTGGTTCGGGTC